TTTTATCCAAATCTTAGATGGTTTGATATCCCTTGAAATTATATTTCCAATGATATATTATAATATTAATTCTGAGTTATAACAAAAAGATATGAATGAAATATCAAACTTTATCCAAATCTGACACCGTCTCACTATTTCGGTCATATCTATTATTCTACAAAATATTTTAATATGATTCTAATTGAATTAGAAAGTAGACTTCAACAGATTCCAATGACATATTATTCATCTTATTTCGATTTTCTGGATCAAAAGATATGATAAAAACAAAAACCGTAAAAACAGTTGTTTATCGCAAGAGTTTTATTCTGATTCGAATTTGATCTTTTCTTGATTTTTTCGACCCTTCTTTTTTCTTTATAAATAGAGGTCATATCACCCCTTTTTCAATCGTCAACAAGCTTGATCACAAAATCATTCTCTTCTCCCTCTTTAGCCTAAATACTAGCCACTCTATTCTCTCATAATACTTCTCCTAAGCACTCTTAAGCACTCCAACTTGACCCGAGGTTATGTCCTTAAACCAAGGCATGAAAGGTAGAATTAACTGGATGTTTGGACAAAAAAAAAAACTCTAATTTTTATTCAATTTAATTATTTCAATTTGATTTGTATTTTTATTGAATTTTCTAACAGTTTATTCATGATGTGGCAATTCAAGGAAACGCGAAAAAGTGAGTAATTAATCACTTAATTACTCTTATTATTATTCTTGTTGCTAGTATCATGATTAGGTTTATTATGATTTGATTTGACTAACAATTTATTGTTTAATTGCTTCCAATATTAATGTTGATTTTATTATACTTATTGATCACCATATTGCATGTTTAAAGGAAATATGTAATATCACGCCTAATAATATAATTTTGACGACCGGTTTAGGTTTCTTTTTAATCTAGGTGTTTAATCAAGTGATCACAATATTTTAGAATTATATGTTTCATTAATATTCAACCAATTTAGCATAATAATAGTTTGGAGTGAATTGAATCTTTGTTTGCATGCCTTTGAGATCGCAGGGAATACTTTTCACTATAAGAATCGAGTAGAGGCCAATACAGGAGAATGTGACTTCATTACTCACTTCGTACCATCATCCCCGATCCTCTTTTTGTGGTTTCGAACCATATGGAGTTAGTAATCTCATGGTTATGAAAGGGGTGTAACCTTCATGGGTCAATCGTTGTTGCCTATCGTTGTTCCTTATTGTGGTTGTCTTAAATGATTCATGAACGGTTTACAAGTTCCTTATAAACTTGTAAGCGACTCCCTACTTTATTATTTGTCCCTAATCGTATATGTCAATTCCCAATTCCTATGAGTGCCAAGCATACTCACACATGCTTTAACGTAGGCGCACTTCAAATGACGCCTGCACGACCCCGCCAATCTCAAAGAAAAGGAAGACTGATTAGCTAGTGGTGGTAGAAAAGGAAAAGTAATAGCAATCACTGACCGAGGAACGGTTTAACGATCTCCGTCCCCAGCCGGCTGGTGAGCACATTGATATTCCTCTAGACGACAGTCGTCTAGGGTGAACTGTTAAGGTGAGGACGGTTGCTTTTGCAAAGATGGGTGAAGACTTGCACCAACTGCTAAAAGAATTCAAAGACATTTTTTCCATTGAAGTGGAAGAGATGCCAAGCATCAGCCCGGATCTTGTTGTCCACAAATTCACATTGGATCTAAAAAATAAGCCCATCCGGAAAAAGAAAAAAATCACGGCGAGGAGAAAAGCCTGGTGACAGCCGTCGAAGTAAAAAAGCTTTTAGACGCTGGTTCATTCGGCCATGTAACTTCCCTGATTGGGATGCGAATGTTGTGCTCGTGAAGAAGCCGAATGGTACCTAGCACATGTGTGTTGATTACACTGACTTGAATAGAGCATGTTCGAAGGATATTTATCCAGTTCCAAAGATCAACAGCCTAGTCGACTTTTCAGCCGAACATGCCCTGATCTGATGAGTTTTATGGACGCCTACTGAAGTTTTCACCAGATTCCCCTGTAGAAAAAGGATCAAGAAAAGACAACATTCGTCACTTATCAGGGGCTATTCTGTTACACCGTGATGCCGTTTGGCTTGAAGAATGCGTCTGCTACTTTCCAACGAATGAATACAGTATTCATTAATCAGATTGGGAGGAATGTAGAGGCGTACATCGATGACATGGTATTCAAATCCAAGCAACAAGCGGATCACCTTGCTGACCTCCGAGAAACATTCGCCACACTCATCAGGCAGTATAAAGTCATGCTTAATCCCAAGAAGTATGTCTTTGGTGTTGAGTATGGGAAGTTTTCTCGGATTCCTGATTGACTAAAGGGGGATAGAGGCCAACCTTGAAAAAATACATGCGGTCATTGACATGTAGTCATCCTGCACTATCAAAGAAGTACAGAATTAACAGTTTGTCTGGCAGCCCTGGGGAGATTCCTTAGCCGGTCAGGTGACAAGGGCCTCTACTTCTTCCAGGCAATCAGACGAACTTCTAAAAATTGAAGCAACATTTTCACTCTTTGCCAAGGCTGGTGAACCCTCTTCCCAAAGAGACGCTTTACATTTAAGTTCTCCATAGAAACAGGAATAGAGTTAAGAGAACTTAAATAAGTATTCGAGATTAATCGATTAAATTCATTGGGAATTTGGAGAGTGACCACTAACTCCATCGGTTCTAGTATCGGCTCCACCCATGAGTCCATGTTGACCTCCATTATGTGAGGAAGGGGGTTAGCTATTCCCATGTATGGGACCTCCATTGGTTGTCCAACACATAGTGTTTTCATCAGAGGGATCTCTAGGAGAATCACATTCGAAGGTTGGGGAAATATGTGATTGTTCATTAGTGATATCTGTTAAGTGTATATGTTTTTGGCTTTCTATAATAGCGTTTTCTTTTCCAGTAGTAGGTGCCTCTTTATTAACTTCTCTCGTAGCTTCTAGGTTCGTAATAGGGTTCAACGGTGTTGCCGATATTTTGGTCAAGGACTGCTGACTTTTTTGAGAATCTTTTCTATATTTTTTGAAGGAGTCCAAATTTTTTCCCCTTGATTATCTTTACCAAAAGAAAAGGGGATATCTTTCGAAATCTTATCAAATGGATTTTGAGAATTATCCCCAAGATTTATTGTTGCCATATGAGAGTTTTTTCCTTATTTTTCTCCCCTGATTCCTTAGAAAGAGTAACTTGATCAGCTTGAATTGAGTTATTTCCTTCTTGCAAATTATCTTCCTCATTCCTTTCCTAGTTTAGCGCCTCAAATCTTGAGCCCAACCCATTGCCAGTTGCATGATTAACTGGATTACCATTGACCTTTTCTTGAGGGTCTTCTTTTGAAAGATTATTTCCATTTTTTCTGATCACTGGAGCTGTTTTTTTTTCTGGGATTTTTCTTACGAACTAGTTTCTTAACAAGCATCCCCGAGCCAAAATCATCTACTTCTTCAGGTTTATGTTCCGGAGGTTTATACCCTGGCCCAAGACAGCTAATTGATCATTAGAGTTATCAATTGCCATCTCTACATTCTGGTTCAACTCACAGTGATCATCCAAGTGCCCAAGTTTCCCACATTTGTAGCAGATCATCTTGATACCTTCATACTGTATTCTCCAAAATTTTCCTTTTAGCCAAAATTTAGCTAATAGAGGTTTTGATAGATCAATCTCCACACTTAATCGCGTGAACTGACCCTTCTTTAGCATATGCTATTGATCTATCTACTTTGATAACCTTACCAATCTTAGACCCAATTTTCTTCAAGAACTCCTTATCAAAGTATTCAACAGCAAGAATAGGAATTCTTACTCAAGCCGTGAGAACATTGATTGATGCTTCTTCTGGGATAAAATTTGGTGTCAATTTTCTAATTGTGAGATATTTATCATCAATCAACCATGGACCAAATGATCGACATTGCTAACCTTGCTATGAAATACTTACAACCAATATCAGTGAGATTCATTTCACCCTTGAGTTGCCATTTCCTCTTTAGTCGTTTGATGTCCTACTCCCTCCGTTTTTAAATACTTGCTTCATTTCCTTATTTGAAAAGCTTTTACAATATTTAATTAATTTCTCTCACCAAGTGGACCCAACAATATTAATTTCATATTCTCTCACCTTCAATTTCTCCACTACTTTTGGGTTTTTACATTTTTTTATTCTTCCACCAACCCCACTACCTCTATATATTACTTCCCCCGTTCTATTAATATTGCAACAATGGATTTTTTGCACTATTCATCACTCTTGTTTGACCATATAATATGAGTTATACGTTAAGCAAAATATAGTCAAGTGGGATCTTGTTGGATTCGTCTCATTTAATACTTTCACAATATCAACTTTTTATAATTTTTACTCATATACAATTATAGATATTTAGCATATAAAATGTGTTTTGGGATGCGTAATTTTCTCCTTGTTGCAATATTAACAGAACGGAGGAAGTATTACTTTATCCAAATTTCGCACGTGGAGAAAGTGAGCAAGTATGTAAAAACGGAGGGAGTAATAATTGAGGTATGTCTCCAAGGCTTGCACATGGATTTTTTTTCTTCCTTGGTGAGAAGAATAACAGGGCATCTCTTACTGTCAATTACATCCTCCGGTGCTTCATCGTCATCCGAAACCTCCATTTCATCATCTAGATCGAAATGCCCAGCTGCGTATCCCTTATTAAATCCCTAAAGGATTTTTGTTTGGCACCATTGTTTTGTATAGGAGGATTTAGACTCCCCTGCTTATATCTCCATTATCGGGTTGACTTAAGCTCTGTTTTTCAGCATTATCTATCTCCATGGATTTTTCCATGTTATCAGAATCCTTTCCAAAGATCAAATGGGTGATTTTGCGCTTAGGTTTCTTATTAGATCTTGTTAGTTGATTAATCATTTCAAGGAGATTATGGGGTTGTAGGAAGGTAGTCATCGAGAGAGTTTTCAGAGAGATGGATCCTTTGGATATACAAATTATACAAGTTTTGGTGTGTGAAGATAATATTTAGGAAAAGGAGGTGTAAATTTAAACTAATGCTCCGTACTTTTTAAAACAAGTTTACTCTAAACCCTTAAAAGATGTGCGCTGCCCCATAATTGGACGATTGTATAAAGACTCAACCCATTTAGGGGTGTTTGGTTCGCAAACTGGTATGGGGTTGGAATCAGGAATGAAACCATAGTGGTATGGGTTTGGAACTTGATTCTTAATACCATATGTTTGGTATAATCATGAAATGCAATGTTTTTCTTTTATTTAAACCTAAATGTATCGGAATGAGCCAAACGCACCTCCCCCCAAGGTTTCTAAACCCCATACCTTGGGGGTTTGAGCTATGGGTTTGAAACTCATAAAATCATAAAACAAACATAAGGTATGGGTTTAAACCATTCTAAACCCATACCTTATACCTTAATTATGTGAACTTAACACCCCCTTAATGCTTTCACAAAAAAAAAAAAAAAAAAAAAAAAAAAAAAAACATTTATTTATTAGACGGATGTATCCGTTTAATAACTGTGACGGGTCATAGGGATCCATAGAATTGCTCTCTCTCATATTAGTCGATACCCATTGAAGCGCACTCAACGTTCTCCACTGAAGCGCAGTTGGCGTTCACCCTTGAATCTCTTGTATCCCCCCATTGAAGCACCTTCTGAGGTAAGTTGTTTGTATTTGTTATCATCATATCAAATATCCCTAAAATTATGAGATCGATAATTGAATCAAATATCCCTATAATTATGAATCAAATTTGGTTGCTAATGTATTGCACAACACTTTAATGTTAGGATTTAACTATGAAATCAGCGCTCTTTTCCCTCCTGCCCTGCCTCAGGGACGGCCTGATCTAGTGCTTATATTAGTCAAGTTATGAATAATTATAATAAGCGATTTCATTGCTATAAATTTGCTATTCTTATTATATTCTAAGCGAGGTGAATTTAAAGTGAATTTTCGATCCTACTTTGATTAATTAAGTTTAAATATTGAGGAATGTTTACTTGATTATTCAATTTAATTGAAGGAATGCGCTTTTTATTTATTTTTATTTATTCAAGATGACCTGATTAGTGACAGATTACTTTGGTTTAAATTTTGTTTAGGGGTTTGGAAATTTGAATTGATAACACTATGAGAAAGGGATCAAATACGCGTGGTGGTCGTAGCGCTCTTAGGATTTTACAGCAACACTTTGAGGATTGTAACTTTGAGAGTGAGGAGGATGCTGTGATATATCTACGTAAGACATATCCGGAGTACAGGAGGTGGAAAACCGCAATACTCACCAAAAATGTTAGAGAGGCCCTTTCCCAGCTTAAGCGGAATAATAGTAGTGGCGGTAGAGATGGTCAAGTTCGACAATCAACATCGACTTCAGCATTATCATCTTCATCCCCTGATTCAAGTTATGAGGAGGATTCCAGTCCGAAGTTGGACTTGATGAAAACAATGTTAAGGGAAGCCTATTGTCCTGATAAAACAGAAGAGAGTATGGAGGAGAAAAATGAGAAAACTATAGAATTATTTGAAAAAAAGAAATTGAGAATATTGTGATGCTTGAGAAAAATGGAGGAACAGGAAGTAAAAATATGGATTTAGATGATGGTAGAGATCAGGTGCACACGCATCCCATGTTTAAGGATTTTGGTGGCATGCGTGAAGTATTGGAGGAATTAAAATACAATGTGCTTATCCCACTTCGTTACCCTGAACTCCTCAACCGACTGTGTCAGTTACATGCAGGGCCACCAACAGGAATTCTATTGCACGGGCCTCCTGGGTGTGGTAAGACCATGTTAGCTCAAGCTATTGCTAATGAAGCTGGCGTTCCTTTGTATCAGATTGCATCGACTGAGATTGTATCTGGTGTTTCAGGTATGTCAAATCAGAACTAGCTTATACTATGTATGTTTTTGATATCTTTTGTAGCCTTTAAAGAGCCCTACTATTGTTGGTAAAACCGTATATGGGAGAGAAAAGGATGAAAATACACATTTCTTGCGACATTTCTTTCTTTCTGTTCATATTTGAGTTTTTTTTATTTTAAAAAATGGGGCATAGGACGGTAATTTTGTCACCTTCTTAATATGTCGTTAAGTTAATGAATGGAATAAAGCAATCAAAATTTGATTTTCTTGGCCTACCATCTATTTAAATTAGGGTTGGGTAAAAGGTTTTTTGTAAAGAAGAAAGGCTATGTGAGTATGTGACATTGCTTATGGTGTCGGCAGTGTGTCGTTGTGCAACTTAAGTTTTCATCTTAAGGCTTTGCATCTTCATGATGTCTTCTTTGGCCTTGCATCTGATGGTAAATGATATTTATGTTAGGATTTACTTTAGCTGTACTTGATGCTTCTTGTGTTTCATATTGAAGGTGAGTCAGAAGGAAACATTCGTGAGCTTTTCTTAAAAGCTCGTAGGACTGCTCCTTCAATAATATTCATTGACGAGATTGATGCCATTGCGGAGAAAAGAGAGAGCTCGCAGAAAAGGCAAGAAGGGCGAATTGTCACTCAGTTATTGAAATGCATGGATACTATATGTGAGAATGCTTCTGTAGCTGGTCAAAAGATTTCTGTGAGTGGGAGTAAAGTACATTCATCTCCAGCAGTTCCGGAGATTTCAGTTTCTGAGAACAAACGAGGCCATGTTCTTGTTATTGGAGCAACCAACCGTCCAAATGCTCTTGACCCTGCATTGAGGCGACCTGGAAGATTTAACTGGGAGATTGAACTAGGAGTTCCAGATGAAAATGCAAGGTTTGAGATACTGTCAGTCTTGACACGTGATCTTGGTGTTCAAGAGGGTTTGAACCTTAGAAAGTTGGCTAGGGACACAGCAGGGTTTGTTGGAGCTGACCTGGAAGATTATGTTAGAAAAGCTTCTGTACATGCTATGAGGAAGATGATAAACTTAAAGAAGGATGAGGGTCTTAAGGAGTGTGCAGTTGGGCCCCAAGATGACAATTGGTGGAAGCAACTACGTTTTATGCCTGGAGAAATGGAAACACTCTGTCCCAAAATGTCAGATTTTGAGGTAATTCAATGTCACTTTCCTGTAAATGTTTTCGTAAGTGAAAAAAAAGTTTTGTTCCATTGTATAACTTGCTACTTCTGCCATTTATTGTCATGAAATGTTTATTAGTTTATGGATATAGGTGCTTTTCCAAGTATGTTGATGTTTTTTCTTTTCCTCCTGGACTATCTATTGATTTAGGTTGCATTTAAGAATGTTCAACCGTCTTTAAAGAGGGAAGGTTTCTCTGCAGTTCCTAATGTGAAATGGGAAGATGTTGGAGGCCTTGGCACCATAAGGCAGGAGTTCCAGAGCTGTATAGTTGATCCTATTAGAAATCCTGAAGATTATGAGGTAATTAATTATACTTGATATTTTTTTTTTCAAGTATTCTGGTCTTGTCAAATTTATTAGTTTGATTATACCGTTTATATTTATTAGATTGCACGTACTCTTAACCAACACACATTTTGACTGGTGAACTTCTGTGATTGTTCTTCTATTTTTAATGTTAATTTATATTTTTTCCTTCTAATAGGTCTTAATTGGCTTGTTTTACGTAGTCATTTTTTCTTTAATATCTTTAATCATTAAAATGTGTAAGATGTGATTTTGTGTTTTGCAGTCACTAACACTAATGTGGAGTAGCATTCTAGACTTTGTTATTCGAGAATTACTGATAACTGAGTTGTTATCAATTAGAATAGGCTTCATATGCAACTTTTATTTACTTATTTATATTTATTTTTTATTTTGAATAATCATGTGCAATGTGCAGTTTGTATTTTCCAATGAAATTAGTATTTGGTTTACTTAGGATTGTTGTATGTGTTGCAATGGTTTACCATTTGTCTACATTCTATTTAGGCCCCGTTTGGTTTGGTGTAAAACATTTTCAATGAAAAAATTGTTATCATGGAAAACATACTTTCAAGGAAAACCACACTTGCAAGATAGTTTTCCTTTGTTTGGTTCTTACAAGAAAAGTTAAAGAGAAATGAAAAATAGGAGGGGAAATGTGGGTATGGATGAGAAGAAAGTGAAAAGAGGAAGGAAAATGAGGCTTCCCTTGTTTTGGAAAGGAAAATGTTTTCCACCATTATAGATGCAATTTTCCACCATTGAGAAATTATTTTCCACCCTGTCACAAACCAATCAAGGTAAATGGGATAATCATTTTCTGTGAAAACATTTTACATCAAACCAAACAGGGCCTTAATGACTTGTAGCCATTTATAATTAGTAGTTCATTTTAGACATTATTTAAAGTGGTCAATGATGTTTTTTCAAAAATTTTATGGTAAAAATTACAAGTCAATTAGCTGTCAAGAATTTTATAGTTTAACAATGCATCAATTAGCTGTCAAAATTAAAAACAAAATGAATAAAAGTGCAGCATTAGCTATTATTTTTCAAGTAAAAGCTCTACACTACAGGCCATATTAAACTATCAACACACGACACAATGTGGGTAGGAACTTGAATATTGTGGTTTTGTCTACTTAATTGGGCTTATGGAGCTATGGGTTTACCAAATTTAAGTTCAACCGTTGTAAAGTTGTAGTAAAAAAAAAAGATATGGTTGTAAGTGCTAAGTTGGGTGGGTAAAGCAGGACTGGGTAGGTGGGTATTACTTTCAATCCACCACCTAACCACTACCCATGGTGGGTATGACTATTGTACCCATACCTTACCCACCCCACTGACGTGGTGTGGAACCAGCATTTTTGTACCCACTTGCATCCCTATCGTAGATACTTCTCCATTCTATACATGTGTAAGAAGTTGATAATGGTACATGGTTTGATTGATTTTCAGGAAGTTGAAGAGTTTTTTTTTAACATTATTTTATTAATTTATTGAGGAAAGCACATGTATTTCAGTACAACTAGTAGGTTCTTGTTGATGAGTGTTTCATGGTAAGCTGCTGTCCTTTTTAATTAAGAGAGGTTTATCTGCTTTTTAAACCCTACTTGCTTTGCTGCTTGTACAGAAATCACTGGGAATCCTTGCGCTTCCCATGATATTTTGTCTTTTTTCAAACTGACTTTATAATGAGTCATTGCAGCTAGAAATTTTTTACACCTTTTCAACTATCAAGCCAGTGTGATTGTTGATCTGGTTCCCATGTCTGCTTTTATGAGCAGCATCTTATGTCTGATGATTTTTGTATATTGACTCTTATTTCTGCTGATATTATTCAGGGATTTGGACTAGATTTGCCAGCAGGATTCTTGCTTTATGGTCCCCCTGGCTGTGGTAAAACGCTGATTGCCAAGGCTGTTGCTAATGAGGCTGGCGCAAGTTTCATATACATCAAGGTCTATTTTCACTGCCCCCTGCTGTAAATTCCCAGCTCACCCCCCCCCCCCCCCGGGTCTGTTTGCATCTTTGCTTTCTAGGGATTGGGCCTTTAAAGCATACTCACCTTGCTATGAAGTACTGAAAGTTCTTTTTTTTTTTTTTTTTTTTTTTTTTTTTTTTTTTTTTTTAAATAAAAATAAATAACATTACCAGGGTCCTGAACTTATGGACAAATATGTTGGTGAAAGTGAATTGGCTGTTCGCAAGATCTTTAATCGTGCAAGGACATGTTCTCCATGTATTCTCTTCTTTGATGAGGTATGAATAATTTTTCTTGAAGTTATAATTATTGTTTTAAATGTTCACATTGTTGTTGCTCGTTGCTAGTTTCCTTTGTTGGCTGCTAAAATATAGCCAAGAGAGGCAAATTTGAACAGCCTTTCGGCCAAGCATTATGATGAAATATCGTAAAGGCAAATTGTAGTGTAATAGGCAATGGGTTTATCTACATGATGAGGTCGCTATTGCTTTTTTTCATGAAACAGTTGGGACATTGTCTTTTTTGAGAGGAGAGAAAGGAGGGGGGGTTTGATCAAGCTTTCGGCTTTGCATTATGATGGGATATCTGAAAGGAAAGTTGTTGTGTAATAGGCAATGACTTTATCTAGGTCACTATTGCTTTTCTTGTTTTTCTTCATGAAATTTGCTAGATAGTTGGAGTTTTTTTTTTTTTTTTGTTTGGGGTGAGGTTTTTTTTTTTTTGGGGGGGGGGGTTGAGGGTGCGGGGTTTATATGGTGCTCTGTGACACTTTTGTAATTATTCTTTCCTACCTACAGTGTTTGGTGTGGCTGGAAATACAAAGCCTGAAGTGGTAATATTATGTTAAGCCAAACATTAATTTCCCTAACCTATGCAAAAGTCTTGCAATCCTAAATCAACGCGGAGTATCAGTCTATATAATGTTTTTGATGCTTATATACGCCTTGAGGGCTGCATATAACATTACCCATTTTAAATTCCAATTTGCCCCAACCACAATTTAGTGACTAAATCATGTGAATCCCATTTATATGGAGAAGACATGTGAAAAATGATTTATTATTGATTGTATGTTCCTTTTTGAGATGAATAATGGGATGATTGTAGGCTTAAAGCCTTAATCACCTCAAAATACTTGCTTCCTTTTGATATGCTCCACTCATATTGCTCGTATCTATGATTTAACTTTCCACTCCCTCCCTTTTCTGGGTATTCATATTTGGAATTCCAACTTTCCTTATAATTTTGTGAATTGCTGCTTGAGAGTCTTAGCAAACAAATTCGTTCTTGTTTGAGATGTTAATTATTATCAGCTATGTCTCCTTTTATAGCCATCTACTATCCAATGCATGTGATCTAGTTCCATTTGTTTGGTCTCATCATGAAATACTATGTTTTTTGCAATATCTTTCACCTCTCAATCATCAAATCTAATCTTATTGGGTGTTTTCTTTAATCTCCTGTGTATATACATATTGATAGTAAGAATAATTCTACATTTCTAATAATGGATTGTTAGTGGACAGCTTGCCCAATCCGAGATATTAAAGCAATATTTAATACCTTTTGATCTTAATCTCTTGATTGTTTAATTGTCAAGTGACGGCCAAACAAAAGCTCAAAGTGGTTGCCCAGCTCACATTATTTACCTAGAGTTGAGATATATGCTCACTAATGCACTCTCATCCCAAAAAACTTATTGGAAACTTAAATTAAGATCTTAAGGCTCTCACCATGTCAAGGATGTAAAAATCCTTCCTTTTTATATGCCCATTCTTTTATATCGGTGTATTGCTAATTGTGTGTATCATAAGATTCATAACAAGAATAGGACTACAAGATAAATTCAGGAATCAAATTCAATTGACATTTGAAAATGCTGAACTTGTCACAGGTGGATGCTTTGACTGCAAATCGTGGAGAATCTAGTGGGGTTACTGATAGGATACTTAAGCAGGTTCTTCTCTTTGTACCACTGTATTGTTTTGGTTTATTTTTCACATGGGCACTCAGATGTTTAAAATCTTAAATCGTCATTGCAGCTTCTTATTGAGCTAGATGGTGCAGAGGAAAGGCGGGGGGTTTATGTCATTGGTGCTACAAATCGGTATACTTTTTTTTTATTACTTATCACCGCTAGCAATATGGTTTATCAATGCGAAAATCCTCCTATATGACAGTCTTTATCTGGATGTTCTAGACCTGAGTGGATAGATCGTGCTTTATTGAGGCCTGGAAGATTCGAGGAACAATTATACATTCCTCTGCCTAGTCCACAGGAACGTGGCTTGATATTGAAAGCTCTTGCAAGAAAGAAACCTATAGATACCGATGTGGATTTACTTGCTATTGCAGAGAGAACAGCTTGTGATCATTTTAGTGGCGCTGACCTTGCTTTCCTGGTTTGTTCACTCCATTCCTTGTTTCTTATCTTTGCTATGTCTTTATCACAATTCTGGTACTCCTACATCCTTCAGTGGATGTTCATTAAAATGTTGATATTCCTTTCAATTAGCAATATAGGCTAAGTATCTTTTGTTTTTTTTTTTTTTTTTTTTGGAATACTGCTAGATGCGGCAAGCCGGTAGGTTTGCTCATGACGAGATGCGATTATTGAAGCAAAAGGGTGCAGGTGCCATTCCTTGGATAATTAATTATAGTCATTTTGAAAAAGCATTGGTGGGATTGAAACCTTCTGTTAACAAAAAGGTATAATTGTTTTAATTGCGTCATTGGTGTTTTAAACTAAAAAAAATGACTGTCTAACATGTCTTTAATATTCTCTTATTTCTACGTGGGGGAGCAGCAAAGAGATTTCTATGATAATTGGTCACGCAATTTTTCGAACCTAACCAATGTCGAGACAAAAGCACTGAACACATGTGGAGGTATAAATTACTTGCCTTCATTGAGTTTGTTCTCTATAGTTTATATCTTAACATAGTCATATAGTTTCATTGCCATGTTTTAAGGCTATGTTTAGCTCACCTAAAATCTGGTCTGAATTTATCTGTTCAAATATACTCTTATCTGATTTTTTTCAAGTTAAGAATGTAAATAAAATTAGGAAAATTTGCGAGGAAGGTCCTTTTATGAGGTCGACCTTGTGTGGAAGGTCCTTTTATGAAAAAGGTGGCACGAAAGGTCCTTATATGAACATTGGGTTGCGAGGAGGGTCCTTTGACCAACTTTCGGTGTTGACCAATTTTTTCCGGCCATTTAAAATCACGTGCAAATCACGTGACCCCTTAAGTTACCCTTTTTTTCCCTTTCCCCTCTTTTCTCATAATTTTCCCTCTTTCCCCATTTCTCCCTTATGAAACCCTAATTTCAGAACAAAATTAATCCTAAATTTTCAATTCTTATCCCTAAAATTACAATTGAAGGCCAATCAAAGCCATTCAATCATAGCCGGTGTTGCGTGCTCTTCTTTCCTCCTCACCTTAGTGTTGTTAGTTGCTTGAACTTTTCCCCATCATCTTCTTCGTTCTTTAAATTTCGCCGGTTATTGGTGGGTGGGTGTTCGTGGGGGTTGTGGGGTTGGGTTCTAGGGGGGTGGATGTTCGAGGTGTGGGTTTTAATGGGTGGTTTTCGTAGGTGGCTGATTTTGGTTCTGGGGAAATCAAACACCATAACAATTAACAACCATAATTCTAATTCTAATTGTTGTTTCCAAGCTTAATTTAAAGGGGGAAAAGGGAAATCAAGGGAAAAAGGAAAAAAAAAAACCTCATTTAAGTGGTCACGTGCACATCACATGATTATTTTTGGCCGGAAAAAATTGGTCAACGCCGGATTTTGGTCAAAGGACCCTCCTCGCAACCCAATGTTCATATAAGGACCTTTCGTGCCACCTTTTTCATAAAAAAACCTTCCACACAAGGTCGACCTCATAAAATGACCTTCCTTGCAAATTTTCCATTAAATTATGACTATTTATTTATTTTGATAGGAATATTATTATTACTCTTATTCAAATAAATAAGAGTGGTAAAAAGGCGGATTGGTGTAAGGAATAACATAAGAGTGGGTGGAATTAGGTAAATATTAGGCCTTGTTTGGTTGACATGAGAATTAAAGTCCCATAGGAAATTGCATTTCATGGGAAGTTATTTCCCTCATGAAATTCCTAGGAATTTTCTAAATTTGTTTGGTTGGCAATGTAGGAATTTAGAAATCCCATGAATTTTGATTGACCTAGGGGGGTCTAGGTAATTTACTTTCCTTATTTTGTGGGATGTTGAAAAACCCATGAATTTTCACTTCCCCCCCCCCCCCCCCCCTTTTTTTTTTGGTGTTAACCAAACAACTTCTCAATTTATCAAATCTCATGAATTTTCACTTTTCCGATTTAATATTGTCAACCAAACAAGGCCTTAAAAGTGAACGGAGTAAGATAGATATTTTTGCTTATTAAAAATAGAATAAAGATATGGGTACATCAAATCAAAATATCTTAAAGCGAAATATGGCTACATCTATCAAAAACAAAGGGAGTATTGTTATTGTAACTTGCAAATATGTGAAATTAACTGAAAAATCCTATATACAAAACAATATAGTGTTGTTTTTAGCTTTTTATATTCGTGTTTAAATTACAAAAGTGTAAAAAACAGCACTTGTATGACAAGTATTTTTCTTGTTTTGGCTATGCTACTTCATATGTAGGTTTTGCTTTTTATAAAGAACCTATTTCAATCAAAATCCACCTCTAAAAGGAAATGCATATTAATACTGTACAACAAAATTGTAAAAAAGTTACATCTCTCTAGATCCTTAACATGTTACATGTGCATCATACTTACAATAGTACCATGCAGATAATGCATTTATTCATGCTCTCATTAAAGCCGTCCAAAATGAATAACTTATAATTATTATTAATTTATAAAACAAATTCTCTAATGTGCATCATACTTACAATAGTACCATGCAGATAATGCATTTATTCATGCTCTCATTAAAGCCGTCCAAAATGAATAACTTATAATTATTATTAATTTATAAAACAAATTCTCTGATGTGATTTGATTATTTCTAATTTGACCTGAAGTTTTTTTTTTTTTAATTGTGATATGATATAATGATATGGAATAAACATGTTTTCTTATCTGTTTGATTCAAACTTATTTGCTTTTATACTACGTATATTATCTGATTTGATCTTAAGCCTAATTCCATGATTTTGATATTTATATTTAAGTTGTTGTGAACCGTTGGTTTTACTCAACTGATGTCCCTTAAGAGTTATGATTTACACTTGAGCCTTTTCTACTGCTAATACTTTTTTTTTTTCATGAAAGGTAATGTGTTGAATTCAATGGTTCTTACCGCTTCAACTGCATTATAAAAAGCGTGACAAGACTATACTAACTACTAAATGGCGGTGATATGAATTGTTCCTCACACTTGGGATCTTTGTTGATGCATTGACTTAACATAATTCATGCTTTGCTCATGTTCGTGGAAGGGTAACTATGTTGCTCATGTATTGGCCAAATTTCCTTATAAAAGAATTTTGAAGTGAGGGTCTCCTGATACATCGCCCCAGGATAAGGGTAACTATGTTCGTGGAAGGGTAACTATGTTGCTCAGTAAGAGTACTCTTGAATGAACTCCATTTGCTATGGTGATGAATCTAAAAGATTCTTATTGTCACATGTTGAGAAAGGTTATGCTGTGGTGGTGTACTCTGGTGCTGGACCTGTTGGTGTTGGTATTACCATTGCTTGTTTAACTTTCTCATTGCAGTGAGACAACGAGCTTTACTTGAAGGCCAGCTTCTGTGTAGAACTTCATTTTGGGGACATTTAAAATGCAGTAATTTTAGAGGGACAATACGACAAAACCATTGCATATGTGAGGGTTAATATTAAGCTATGTCATCTTGATTATTGTAATCAATTTTGGTATTAATATTATTATGTTTTTGTAAAACTTCATTTTCTTGTGTATGGAATTTTAGTTATTATCTATAAACTATGGAATACTCTTGTGGTTTCGCCCCATATGTGCCTATTGATCTTGAGATATACATTTTGACTAGGAAAAATTGCTCCCATTAATTTGAACTTTGCCTCGTCTGCCGAAAATAATCCCAACTTTCGTTTATTATCTATTGCATCGAACTTTGGGGGTATTAATTTTCGTTGCACCCAAATGACCTGCAACCGGTAAATCAGGTAAACATTTCTGATATTTTTTTTTTGCACACGTGTCAACATATAATTGGTTGAAAAAAATAGAAAAAAAAAATAAAAACATAATTAAAAAAAAACCCCAACAGCTACCCTTAGCTTCTCCACCAGCCACCAGCACCACCATCACTAGCCTTCCTCTCTCCCTATCCCACGGTGTCGGCCGCACCCACATCCCCTCCCCCGATGCCGGCGCCGACCCCCTCTCCCGCGTATCGTCCCCTCCCTCGCTCTTCCTGATGCTTGCTTGAACCAACAACCACCCTCCCCGAAACCCTATCTCTCCCGCAAAAACCACCTAAAACCCATTCCCCACCCTCGAAAACCCTAATCGGACCTCCCTAGCCATCGCTAGGGGTTCAGTCAGGGTTTTTCGAGGATGGGGGATAGACTTTCGGTGGTTTTGCGGTGGAAGGAGATTTTCTGGGGGTGGGTGAAGGGAAGGGGTTTTCGTGGGTGGGGGAGGGGATTTCAGGGGTGGGGGAAGGGAAGGGGTGGGTTTCGAGGGAGGGGGAAAGCTGGGCGGTGGTTTCCGGCAGCAGGGGAGGGGGTTTTCGTGGGTGGGGGAGGGGATTTCGGGGGTGGGGGAGGGGTTTTCGGGGGTGGGGGAAGGGAAGGGGTGGGTTTCGAGGGAGGGGGAAAGCTGGGCGGTGGTTTCCGGCAGCAGGGGAGGGGTTTTTTCGGGGTGGGGGTTGGGGTGTGGTGGCAGCCGCTGGGTATGGGTGGTTTGTGGGGTTTTTGTTTTTTATTTTTATTTTTTTTGTTTTTTTTTATAAATTTTTTTTTAAGCCAATCATACGCTGACACGTGGCTAGGTAACCTGCTACATCAGGTTAGATGACCTGTTGGGTGCAACGAAAATTAATACCCCCAAAGTTCGGTGCAATTGATAATAAATGAAAGTTGGGATAATTTTCGGCGGACGAGGCAAAGTTCAGATTAATGAGAGCAATTTTTCCTTTTGACTATCTATATTTTCCATTATGTATCAACTAAAATTATAAAAAGTTTATAGGGTTTTTCTACATTATAACCCTCCAATTTTCCGTTTTCTACGATGTGCCTTCCCTTTTTGAGAAATCTACACTGTAACCTTAAAATACATTTAGTTTTTATACGGTAACCTGGCCGTTATCTTGCCGTTAACAAATTCCGTTAGTGGGGCCTACTCACCATTTTATAATATTTTTTTAATCAATTTGCGTGTTGAAAATGGTTCCGTTAAAGGTTTTGGGGGTATTTTGGTCCTAAAGGATCCAAACTGAGCTCAGATTTAACAAAATAATAACACAAATGCCTCGTTTTGCATATTAAAAAATATCTCGATTTGCGTGTTTACGTATTTAATATGCAAAACAAGACATTTGCGTCATTTTTTTGTGAAATCTGAGCTCAATTTGGATCCTTTAGAGACAAAATACCCCCAAATCCTTTAACGGAACCATTTCTAACACGCAAATCGATAAAAAATTATAACTAACGGAATTTGTTAACGGCAAGATAACGACAAAGTTACCGTATAAAAGCTAAATGTATTTTAAGGTTACAGTGTAGATTTCTCAAAAAGGGGGCACATCGTAGAAAACGGAAAGTTGGAGGGTAATAATGTAGAAAAACCCAAGTTTATATTATAAATAGGATATAAATATACATGTCGAATAAAAAAATACTTCACCATTTTTTAAAAACATAGGAAATTTTGTCATAAACCACATTTTAATCCTTTTGTGAAAAACCATTTTTTTTTTTTTACCAAAATGTTGTAAAAAACCACCAAGAAGATCTCGAATGCTAAGAATTTCATAAGGCCTTAAACCTGAATTTGCAAAAGACAGTAAGAACTTCATAGCTGAGACCAAGGTTCATAAGGAGCCAATTTATCTTTCATTTTAGGCCCTTCCTCACCCCAACTATATTTAAGTCTACTTTAGTTGCAGATATATAAATTGATGATGGTTGTCCTCAGAAAATTTGGATGATTAACAGAAATCAGACAATTGTCTTTATAATTGCTATAAAGTATAGATCAGAAACACAGATTTACATTCTCAACTAACTTGTAAGATAAAATTATCTTAAAAAAAGATACATAATTATATGCTCATAAACAAGAAGAAAAACCTACGATATCACTGTCAAGATCTAGAAGGGCCAGAAATCATGTTGAGGCTTCTTCACCATAATCTGATTGTACTCAGGTCTTGAAGTCTGCAATAAACAAGAACCACCATAAGATAAATAATGACGCAGGACATCTGCCACAATCCTATCTTATTAATAATTTAACGACATTTCCCTCTCATCTGCTTACAACATACAAAGTCTTACAAGTTACACTATCCTAGAGGAAAATCTACAGGTGCATGCTGATACCTACCCATTTGAAAAGCACAATACCAACACAGGTAGCTCGATTATGAGAAAACAATAACAATTGACTTTGAAGACACAATAAAGGATAGAACCATGTTGATTTCCTATAGCTGTTTTACACGAAAATCAAACAGTTAAGAATTATTGCTATACTGCATTGAATGTTGAGAACAAAGTAGTCAGATAGTCTAGTAAAACAACACACTCCAGCTTATTGCACGGCCTATCAAACTCCTGTGAGTCTGTTACTGGTATTAAATCAATAGCATGTTCATTTATAGCTATCCCATCTATAATACAAAAAGAACTTTGGTACCTCCGTCCCCCTTCCCCAAGCCCACAACCTCTCACCCGTGACAACACACTTTCATTTAATCTGTTGTAAAGAGAAGTAGATTGATGCATGATACTCCGTATATATTTAAGGTAATGGGTGCCTTTTAGTAAACCAAGGTCATCCATCTAACATCACTAATAATTTATCCGATTACATTCGGCAACTATACATGGATTTAAAAGTCACATGAAAGTGATACATTTCATTTGCAAACTGATAAGTAAATGCAGATTGAGCAACTCCATGAAGGGTGATGGGTGCCTTTCAGTATAGAAAGAACATTTAAATGAAGTAACATCATTGCATCAATAACAACTCACTTAATTTATTGCCTGCAAAGGTAAAAAAGTCACTTAAAAAAGATACCAATTCATTTGCAAATTGGTTTAGGAGATGCAAACTGATTACTTGAGTAAGGCATAGCAGCAGAAGGTATGTTACATATTCTTGTTACAAATACAAGACTTTGTAACAAAGAATCCACTTATAAGAAACATGTATGATTGGCTGATTGCTATATTCTATTGCAGCTTTCTCTCAAATATGGATTTTTTTGAGCAGATAATTCTACTGTTCGGAAAGAATAGTCAAATTGTCCAAATACATCATAATGAAAAAAATAAAAAAAAATAAATATAATAGCCATAATTTTACTAGAGTACCCCTAAATTAAGTTGTCTCATACCCAATTTGTATCCACCCCTCCCTTTAATGAGGGATGTTGCACATTTAATCACGATCCATTCATATCATAAAATTACAAAATAGAAGAGGTAACTTATTCCTAACAAACGGATAATTTTATAGAAGATATACACAAAAAATCTCAAGTTCTCAACTATGGATTGTATTTCTATAGCAATCCCAACTATAAAAATACTTGTATAATCCTAACTACGGGAGAATTTTTCTCAAAATGATCCATGATTACCAGCTCCCTTGCCCTGCCAACAACCGCACTCCCTACCTAGTCACCCTCGTCCTTCCCCCGACCAACAAATCACTGCCGCTAAATCTCTTCCATCTTGTCGCCGTTGAATTTGCAACTTCCAGCCTCTCCCATCTTCTGCCTAAATCAACCTTGCCTAACCATCCATTAATGTAGACTATACCACCATCCCCATTCATCCAAAACCATTGCACAACTCCATTTAATTTGACTTTTAGATTTGAAGCACTAGTACTTACAGTCTAAAATTTAAAGAGTTTCCACAAACAATAAAATGAAAGAACTCCAGCAATTACTCAGCAACAACATCAAATTCCTTTTTTTTCCCCTTCTTCTATAAGCAGATTTATTAAAATAAAAATATTCTTATGCATTTCCTTCATTGCTCATTCATATGCCTGAATTAGACAAAATAAAGACTAATCAGCAATATTTGCTTTTCATTTTGATTTTGAGCAAGCCATCCAATCAAAGTTTCAGATTTAAATTTTCTTCTACTAGTGGCAAATGATCCTGAAAATTTTGTGGGTGTGAATCATGACTCTTGGATGAAAAGCCATATTCAACAAATTGTATTTTAAGAGAATAATTTTGCTTAACGTGAGTGAATAGCTTGAGGTGCTTTTATTCTAGTGTCTAGATGAAAGTGATGGTTTCTAGCAATGACACATAGCAGACGAGTTAGTTTTGGTGGGGAAGGGGAAGCATGGTGGTCAACGGGAAGGAGGGACAAGTATGGGAAGACAAAGGGAGTTTGGGGCAGAACTTTTAAGAAAAAAATCCAAAAAAGACTCAAATCACATTATGCTACAATTAAATTGGGGTGCTTTGAATACTCCAATCACCCCCAATGAGCAATCAATAATGGTAATTCAAAATTTCAACATTCACAAGCAATCAGTGGAAATTCAACATTAAGCAAAATGAGGGCAAGAAGACTGTTCTGCTAATATAACACTAAGCTAAATCAATGTTAATTGACGAGTGTGACTTACAATTCACCTGCAAACAATGGTGAATTGGTGATTTAACATTCAGCAAAACGAGGATGAAATAGGCTTATTTCTATTCAAAATGAGTGAATCAAACTTACAACAACAAAACCAAATCCTTATCCCCAAAAATGACGGGTTCAGCCGCGAATTATCCACGAAGATCCTCTTCCATCATTTTCCTCTATCTAATTCTCTACACGAATTTGGCTATAACTAATAAAATCAACAATTTATCCACCTACAAATCATACCGCAGTTCTAAACCCCTAATAAAAGTCCCAACATTTAAGTTCATACATTAAAAAATAAAAAACCCTAAAGTCTTACAGCAATTCTCTCAAGAAATTCTAGGTTAAACAAACCATAAATCAAAACTCAGATTAACGAACAGAAATTGAACTCGGAAACAACAATTAACAACTGAAACCAATCATCAAATTGAAAAGGTAATTAAATGAAGATTAGATTCAAAATTTAGAAGAAAAAAAGGGGAAATTAAGGAGACTTACGAGATCTTTGAAGAGGAGAAAAGCGACAAGAAAAAAGAGGAAGAAGAGAATCTCAAATTCGGCAGCACGAAGATGGAGGTAGATGGAGGTTGTCAACGATGGTTGTTGCCGCTTCGATCCCTTACCACGCATCTTTATCCTTGGGAATTTTGCAACTCAGTTTCGATATTTTGTTCTTTTGGTTGATTCACTGTGTTTTTGTAAGCTTTGAAAATTTGAATGCAGTATTTGCCTATTTGGTCATGCATATAAGAATTCAGCTACCCACTACTGACTAATTCCTTATTCCATTTTTTTTTTTTTAAGTAAACGTTAGGGGATTTTATATCATCAAAGGAAATCGCATTCCGCCAAAGCAATCAAGCTTTGGGGAAAAGGACTCATACAAACACGTTCCACATTATCTCTAGTATCCCATCTAGCAACTAGGTGGGCTATCGAGTTCCCCGTGCGTTTTACATGAGAAGTAAACAAACTAGAAAAATTAGATGCAAGCTGGAATATGTCATTGTAGACTAGGCATAGGGGGGAGAAACCATGATGCTGCTTGTTCACCCTTTCGATTGCTGCCCAGGAGTCACTTTCCACCCATATGTTATCATAACCAAATCGATTTGCCACTTGAAGACCATAGCGGATTGCCGCCGCTTCAGCCTGCTCCACATCCCACACCCCCTCAAATTTGCGTGCTGCAACCAATATTAATGCACCATTATGGTCCCGGACCACAGCTCCAAGCCCCACATACCCAGCAGCTGCAATATGTGCGTTTACATTAATTTTCAGAACATTCTCAGGAGGACAAACCCAACTTGCTGCTGAGATAGGTTTCGAGTTTCCACCAGATGGGAACACTCTACACGCATAGTTGGAATACTCCTCAGCCTGCTTGACAAAACTTATGGCAATATAGTTTACATCAAGATTTATTTTATCAAATACCCACTTATTCCTGCAGAACCATACTGCCCAGCCTATGGCAAGAATTTTCCCCAATTTCTTCTTATCAATTTTGCTATCAAGCAATAACAAGGTCTGCTTGAAGGAGACTTTGGGAGCGTCAGCAATTAACGGGCCAAAATCACTACCTGACCAGGCTCTCGTGGCAGAGTGGCACTCAAAAAGAACATGAGAAATCGATTCTACCTCTATCCCACAGCAGCAACATAAGTCATCTCTTACTATATGGCGACGAAACAGGTTCTCTTTCACCCCCAAGCTTCCTCTACATGCCCTCCACAGAAAGTGGTTGAGCTTTGGTTGGCGGTCCGGGCTCCATACAATCTTCCAAACTCTTTTTTCTTCTTCTTGATTCATAGCGTTCTGTACAGCTTGTTGTCCTAGTTTACCCAACCAGTAGCCTGTCTTCACACTGTACTCACCCAATTTCGATGGCCACCAAAATAGATTATCCTCTTGGGAGAAGATAGGAGTAGGCAATTGGAGGATTTTTTTACAGTCAGCATCCGAGAAAGTGGCCCTGAGTACTATGGTAGGTAAGCCTAGGTACTTCTCATGTTGCTCAACCTCTTGGACCCCCAGAATATTGACTATCTCTTCATTCTCTTGCCTTCGGTCTCCATCCACACATTTGCTAAAAACAACATCCGTTTTGTTGAGATTGACTTTTTGTCCCGATGCTCTCTCATATATGCTAATAATATTAGCTATCACCGAGCAATCACTAACGGAGGCTTTTGCAAAAATGATACTATCATCGGCAAAAAACAAATGGGAGATTCTAGGAGCACCCCTACAAACTCTAGCACCATGAAGCAGGTTATCTTTTGCCGCCTTCAAAAGTAATGTGGAGAAGGCATCCGCAACAATTAGGAACAAGTATGGAGAGATAGGATCACCTTGTCGGAGGCCCTGTGTGGGTGTAACCGATCCAGAAATGCGCCCATTAACCTTAAAGGAAAAAGATACACTCGAAAGACAATCCATAATTCTCCGTACCCAATTTTCACAGAAACCCATTTTATACATCACTCTCTCCAAGAAAACCCATTCAACTCTATCGTATGCTTTGCTCATGTCAAGCTTCATAGCAATTGACCCTGATTTGCCCTCGCCCTTCCTCTTCATAGCATGAAAGATCTCAAAAGCAACCAAGGCATTGTCCGTTATCAACCTTTTCGGAATAAAAGCACTTTGGTTCACAGAAATTATATTATTCAGAAAAGGTTTTAATTTATTTGCCATCACTTTTGAGATAATTTTATATATCACATTGCAACAACTAATGGGGCGGAACTCGGTCATATATTTCGGATCTTAACATTTTGGAATGAGAACAACACAGGTCTTATTTATATCATATAAATCCGCATTTCCATTCCACCAATTTTTCACAAAGCAAACAATATCATTACCAACTATGTGCCAGAATTTCTGAAAGAATATTGCATGCATACCGTCGAGGCTCGGAGTTTTATTTGGATGCATTTGGAAAAGAGCTTTTTTGATCTCTTCCCCAGATGGCTCGACATTTAAGGCTTCATTCATGTGCGTGGACACAACATTTTCAATCCCTGCCATTGCTTGCTCAGAATCAGTCGAGCCTTCTGATGAGAATAGTGACTTAAAATAGCCACCCACAATTATCTCTAATTCCTCTTTACGCCCCTGCCATACACCCTCATTATTGAAGAGACCCACGATGCTATTGTAGTGCTTCCGTTGACTCGCTTTTTGGTGGAAATAAGAAGTATTTTTATCACCGTCACGCATTTCATTTGTTCTAGCTCTAGCGTGCCAGTACGATTCTTCCAAACGGTGAAGCTCATCCAGCTCGTGAGAAAGAGTGGAACAAGTTTGCAACATAGCTGCATCCGGGTTTCTACATTGCGCTTCTTTGAGTTTACTCTCCTTCTCTCTTATCTTCTTCTTTATATTTCCAAAAGTGGAGGCAGCCCACATACTGAGGTCACGTGCACAATAATCAATTCTGGCAGCAGTGTGTTCCCCCGCACTCCCCTTCCATGCATCTTCAATCACTTTACTACAGGCAGGATTTGAAAGCCAGAGGGCTTCAAATTTAAATTGTTTGTGGTTCCTATTATCTTCTCTTTGATCAGAAGCGGTTAAAAGGATAGGAGCATGGTCGGATTTGTATATTGGGAAGTGACGGACTTCATGGTACGGGAATAAAGAACACCAACCAACATCACTCATAAAGCGATCAAGCCTTTCCCTTACAAAAGTTGCCGGATCATTGCCTCTCTTCCATGTAAAGATGCTGCCTTTAAACCCCAAATCTCGCAGCGAGCAATCATCCATAGCACTCCTAAACGCGTCCATAACTCTTTCGCACCTCGGAGCACCCCCTTGTTTTTCAAAATTACTCACGATTTCATTAAAATCACCAAAAAAGACACAAGGGAGAGAACTGCTAGCCTTAATTCGAGACATGAGAGCCCACGTACGGAATTTGTTTTCTTCCTCTGGCCAACCATACATTCCCACCGCCCTCCAAGTAGCCGTGTTATTATGATCACAAATCTCCACCACAAAATGATGGTTAGAGTACTCTACAAGCTTGGCATTGATGTCTTTCCACCAAAAACCCAAGCCCCCTGAGTTTCCAATACTATCAACACAAATACCCTCCGTAAAACCACATTTATTTCTAATATTTTGGAATCTATGAGCATCAATCATTGTCTCCATGATGAAGACAATATTCGGCCTTTCTCTCCAGCACCAATCCCGGAGAGCTTTACACGTCCACGTGTTGCCAATCCCGTGGACGTTCCAACTAAATATTTTCATTGTTGTTCGAGGGCGTGGATTGAGCCATCGCCCTCTACTTGAGTGGTTTTCGTTGCATTATCACCTACCTCCCTCTTCCTTGCTCTTTTTTCCATCCTCTGGACATCCATGATGTCAAAAAAGTCATCTTCGTAGTTCAGTCCTTTCCTTTTTTCACCTACTGCACCAGAAAAAGCATTGACCTCCACCATGTCACACTCCCCATCGTACTTCCTTCTGTCCACCTTGTTCCATTTCTTCCTAGCTTCCGAAGCTTCTGCCCCACTTGTACCAGTGGCTGAGAAAGAAAACGGTTTATTCTGGTTTGCCGTACCAGGTGGGATCACCTGGGCTAAACCACCATCTGGATTCGTGTGAGAAGTACTAATTGCACTGACACGCTCACTGCTTCCACAAGTATTATTGCACACAGATTGTGGTTTAGCTGAAAGGGCAGTATTATTCCATTATTCACTCACTATTAATTATTCAATTAATCAATCAATAAACACTCGAAAACAACTATTAATTATTCACTCACTGTTAATTATTCAATTAACACTATCAAATAACCCCCATTACACTAGCAAAGTAACCCCTATAGTGGCTGGCCACACAGTATGGCCAGCCACATATAAGACTTTGTGATCAATAAATATGTACTAAAAAAGACACACCAGTAATGTCCTTAAATTTTTTTCTTTTATTTTTGAAAATAAATTCAATTGAGAAACAAATCTTTTACATAAATACTACGGCCTCGTTCTTTAGAGCTATTGTGCTCTGCTCAAATCAAATCTGCTCTGCTCAAAATATATATGCTCTGTCCTGTTCAAAAAAAATCTGCTCTGCCCTGCTCTGCTCTGCTTAATTTTCAAATAATAATTAATAATAACAACAATAATAATTAATATTGTATTTATGATAATGATTTATTATTTTGAATAATTATAATAATTATTAATATTAAAATAATTATAATAATTATTAATATTAAAAATAATTTTAATAATTATTAATATTAATAATAATTAATATTTATTAATCATAATAATAATTAATACTACCTCCGTCCCCGAAAGAACGGCCCATTTGGGTTGATTTTGCGGGTATTAAGAAAGTTAAATAAAAAGAAGAAAAAGTATATTGTAAAGATAAATTTCCATGGGGTTTGTAAAAAAGTAGAGAGAGAAAGTAATAAAAGTACATAGAGAAACAAAATTTTATATGGGGAAGCTAATTTTGCACAAATATTATTGCAAATTAGTGGGGATTTTAATGCAAATGGCTCATTCTTTTTGGGACTAAAATTAGGCCAAATAGGTCGTTCTTTCGGGGACGGAGGTAGTAATAATTACCAATAATAAAATTTAATAATTCAAACAAAATTAATATTTTATAATACTATTAATTAATAATTTCTAATAATTATAACAATTCTTTCAAAAAAATAAATAATAATAATAACAATTAATAACAATTTCTTTTTTTAAGATTTGATATTAGAATCACAATGTGTAGAACATTTTATGTGGGTATTGATTGTTAGTTCATTGAGTTGAATTATTTTTCATCAAATCTTTCCATACATTTTAAGAATTAAAAAAAAGAGGTTGTTTTCAAGTAGTAATTTGTATATTATTATTATTTTTAGGGTTAAAAATATATGATTAAGAACAATTTATAAGTAAAATCATTAATATTCATTAAATCATTTTATTTTAAAATTTTTGTGAAATAAATATAAGTAAACCGTTGTCTTTTATCTTTCTACTATTAACATATGTTAAATATGGTACACATATATTTATGTTTTCACTCACCTAAATCGTATATGCACTTAATAATAACAACAACGACAATAACGACGACAACAACAACAACGACAACAACATTACAACATTAATAATAATAACATTTATAATAGTATTAACAATAATGTTGAAATCTGCTTTGCTCGGCTCAGCTCTGCTCTGCTATCCTGAAATTTGCTCTGCTCTGCTCTACTAAAATTTAATCTGCCCTGCTTTGCTCTGCCCAGAAGCTCAAAAGAACAAGGCCTACCTCCGTTTCTTTTTAGTTGACACATATTCCTTTTTAGGAATTTTTTTTAGTTGACACGTTTCCTTTTGGGTAATTTTTTTTACCTTGCATTTACAAGCTACTCCACTTGATTTTTCATTCTCTTTTACTCTCTCTCCTCTCCTTAATATATGTGCCTAAATCAAACGCGTCAACTAAATAAAAACGGAGGAAGTATAAAGTAATGATTACTTACAAATAAATAAAGTAATGATTACTTACAAAGATTTTATGTATCTTTTCAAAAAAAAAAAATTGACAAGTTAAATGACAACTATAACCTTAGATAAAAAAAATAAATATACTCCGTAATATTCTTAACACAAGTTGTGACACATGGTTTATGGACTACTGAGTTATTTTTTGGAAAAGACACATTATGCAAGTACTCCATTTATTACAACAAAATTAAACTTCGTATATATTTTTACTTGATTTTTTAAAAAATTACGTAATAGAAGCTATAATCTTGAAAAATGAAATGAAAATATCTGATCAACAAATGGTACTTTTATTTCTTTAAAAAAAATGATACTTTTATTAATTTTTTGAATAATTTATGAGTAGAATTTTAATACTCTATAATTAACTCTAGATGCTTCAATAATACTTGCCAAAACGGACAAATGTTGATTATTTTTAGTGTGATTTTTTCCTGCCATTTTTGTTCTATTCAATTAATATAAATAGAACATAAGAAAGTCAAATTTTTTAATGTAGTGTTTATATAAAAAATAGTTATTCAAAATTACCGTGCATAGCACGGAACATAACCTAGTATACCTCCTAATTTTCACTTTCTTTCTAAATTCTTTTTGGTTAATTAATCTTTCATTTATTTTGAAAATAATAATTTATGTTTCTTTAAAATCATGAATAACCAATACCGTATTACAAAAAGTACGAAGAATAGCAATGGATGACCATACCTTATGTATTTGTTTACATCGAATCTATATTGTAGATGTCGTATGACTTCTAATTAATGAAATATTTTTGGTATTAAAAAAAAAAGTACGGAGAATAGCAATGGATGGCCATATACATTAATTACATTCTTCTATATTCAACCTTACATAACATATGATAAATTATTACATAATCTTTTTCTATTTGCTTTAGTGTGTACGTTAAAAAAAAAAATCATATTCATAAAATTTATATTAAACTAAATTTATTAATGATATAATTTACAAAATAGATCTAATATAATATATCCATTTATTCAAATAGTACGATTAAATAGATAAACGGTTTATATCATCATAACAAAGATTAAATATAAAAATAGGTTGAGTTAGTGACAAAAGAAAATCTCCCCGTACACAATTTGCATAAATGTTATTTTGGGATGATTGGAAATATTTATC